AAAATGCCCTCTCTCGTGAGGCCTTACCTGGAGTAGGGGGTGAGCCCAGCGCCCTTCACCTGGATCTCCCAGCGGCCGGACGGGTTCTCCCGCAGTAGCTCCTCGCTCTGCCCGGGTGGGGCTCGCACCTCACCCAGGTAACAAGCCGCCCCATCGCCCAGCTGCCCGGCGAAGTGGCCGAACTGGTGGCCGCAGTAGCAGTGAGCCGCGGGCTCGGAGCCGGGCATGACCCGGGAGCCGCTCAGGTACTCCGGGCCCAGCGGGTCCCGCAGGACCTCCTCCGCGTCCAGCCCCAGCAGGGACAGCGCCGGCCCGGACACGGCCACAAACCGGGGTCTGAGCAGCGGCTGCGGCTGCACTCGGGAGAAACAAGCCCCTCGCACCGTCCTGCTGCCCGGCTCCTGAGAGGGGTCCAGCGCCAGCCTCCTCAGCGCCACGTTGTCAAACTGCAGCCGCTCCAGGGGCGAGCGGCTGGCCGCTGACCCCATACTGTCCATACCGGTGGCAGAAGTAGAGGTCCGGGTGCCCCTGAGCGCGGATATTCCCGAGTTGAAGTTACGAAACCAGGCGAACCGCAGACAGACAGCCGCCATTCGTTAGCGGCTGCATTATATTCCCGAAAGGAACCTGCGCAGAAAGTGTAGAGGAACCCAGAGCTTTCGGTCCCAAGATGCGCTCTTAGCGTGCGTTTCGCAATACGCTTTCGTAAAAACGAAAACATTGCGGAGGAGAGATGGGGTACGGCTCCAATATCATTCCCCTAAGAAACAACTGCTAGTAGGAACCATCGAATCCATTTTTAACAACTCAATACTACGCCCTTGTTTTTGTTGTGAAAAAACAACAACTTTAAAGTTCCTCTGTGTTATCCCCTTCAGTTTTTTTGTTCGATGTGTGTTACACACAGCATCCTAAAACTGAAACCTTTTCCTAAAATGAGAGCAATGATTCCATATATAGGTATTACTTAAATATACCACAAGGTCTCACGGTACGGCAGGCTTGTCTTTTACGAGAATAATAATAATAAACCGCAGCCACCACATCAGTTGTTGGATGAATCGTTCCATGTCTCCGGTGAGGTCTGTAAACATGTAGTAAACACCTCGCTCAAGTAGCAAACCGAGCACTAAGTAAGATTATTACAACATTTTTGGAGCATTTTTTTTTATTTTCCTTTAGTCTAGTATCCATCAAAGAGGCTACATGGGACAAAGTGTCTACTCTCGCCAGTAACTCTTCATACGTCCATAGTCTTTAGTAAAAAAAAAAAGTTGTCATTCTGACTTGGGCCAGTCTTTTCCTTCTAACGTATATAAGAGAAATTACCCCTTTAGTGAAGTATCCTAAGGAGTTAAATTTTAATTTTTATTATACATTCTCCAGTTCATACTTTCTTCTATCATGTCCCCATTTTCTTTTTATATTATTATTATTTTTATACTTCTACATTTTTGCAATTTGAATTTGATTAAGCTTTTAGAAAATGGGTGGATGGATATACTTTTCAGATGCAGCTCATTGAGATAAATGTATGAAAGCCACTATAAAGTTTATTATCCACAATCAGGGAGCTGCGTATTCCTGGAAGGAGTCGCAGAAACCCTGATCCTATCCTAGAAGCACAGGCTGTGAGGCAGACTATACTCTGGGACATTGTGTCCAGGGCCTCACCCTGCCTTACACTTCACACAGAGGACACACTCACAAGCACACAGGGGGGCTTCAGACACAACAATAAACCTCTGGAAAGTGGGAGGAAGCGTGAGCCCCCCTGGTGAAAACCCACACCAATTAGGTGAGAACATGCAAACTCCACACGTAAGGTAACTTATTGAATCCAGGGCCTAAGAGCTGTGAGGCAGCAGTGCAGCCTGAGCACCCTGCCTCCCTCCATCAGCCTTCTAGCTGCTTTATGCAGTACTTGGTTGCAGGGGAGCTGGAGTCTATCCCTGCAGGATACAAGGATACATGGGCACAAGACAGGATGCTGCCTGAATAAGACGAGCACCCTGTCACCCAAGTCTTAAATTCACTGAGCCGGTTAGCAGCAGCTTATTACTGAGATGCTCTGAACACAGCAAAGACAAGTTACAAGACGACAGCCAGAAGATTCCACCCAATTTGTAATGAATTACTTCGTTTTTCTATCAGTTTTATTTAGTCGATTTACAGTGTTCTATTTTACGTCCCTTATGTGTTTTATGTGTCTGTTACTGTTCAGTGTTTGAAAATCCCTCAGATTTGACATGGTGATTGAACTGAGGAGAACCTGAGAGCATCTTTAATACAACTGGTATGCTTCATATTCACATGGGATAACTGTCTTTTTAAATTCTGTACAGTGTTCTGCAACACTGCAAAAAACAATGAGCTCTAGGAAGCAGTGAAGATATAAATCATATATTAAGAATGTTTAAGTGTAATGTTTTCTTTAATCTAAAAATACAAAAATTACAGTAAATTGAAATTCTACACACACGCACAGACATATTCATTCGATTAAATAAAGAAGGCAATCTAGTTTAAATATAAAGAATCTTTTATAGAGGTTTTAGAATTCAGTACAGAGCCTTGGGCTAGGCTACAGTATTTGGCTTGGTACACTGACAATGCTGGGTAAGGACAGGACAGTCCACATGGAAGGCAAATATAAAGAAACAATACTTAATTAGATATATCCTATGAAATAAACGGCCAGAAAACATAGTAAAATACACTTAAAAATGCAACGAGATACTTCTTTAAAAAGTTATTAGGCACAAACTGTTAAGAAATCGTCCACACAACCACCTATTTGTCACTTTGCATCTTGGAACAGACCAAGCTTATAGTTGCATGCCACCATATTTTCAAATGTATTTCAAAGTTGTGTTTTTCTGGTCTGTCTCCATTTTTAAATATTGCATATACATATAATAGACCGCCGAGACGTTTCTTCATATTTCGACTTCCAAGGAGTCACACACAGGCGTACACTCTCTCGCGCACACAGCCCAGCTGAGAGAGAAGAGGGGAAGAGTGCTGAGGCTTCTTTTTACTACTGCAGAGCTTGCACTACCTGATCCTGACAGATAGAGGGCACTGCACACCCCCAGGCTCCTGACTGTGCAGAGCCTGCAGTACCTGATTCTGACACAGAGGGCACTGTAGTCCCAGGCTCCTGAGTGAACCCTTCAGACTGATTGCCAGTTACAGTACAAGCTTTTGTTAATGTTAACAGATTCTGGAACCAGCATTGAGGAAAGAGAGAAAATAATACTATGCCAGAAATACTGTGGTTGTAGGCCTGACTATCTCGACTTTCTCTCCCTGGTTTCTCTCTCACTCGGCCCAGGCTCTGTGATCTTTCGCACAGACAATGCTGATCCTGACAGGCAGACACACACGCAGACACACAGACAGACCAAAGGCTGGGTCTTTACAGCCCATCTCCAGGTGAAAGGCAGCAGTGAAAGCAGAATAAGGCTTCAAACCCCAATGTCGAACCCCGCCCTCCACAAAAACTCCATACCCACCCCCACCAACAGTAAGTCCCTCGCCCCCCCAACCCCCCAGTAACTTAATAATCAACCCTCACATCTTTTGCTCAGCCTCCACTCCACACTAAAGTACTCCTCACTCTTTCAGCTCCTGCCCTCTGCATTTCAGCTTCTTAACCTGCAATGCAGTAACCGGCCGCAGGTCCAGTCACACTGGTCCCCTAAACCTCCTGTCCTCATCCTCACCGGCCTTCCAAGATCTGTGCATCTCAGCTTCCAAGATCTGGCCATTCAGCTCCACTCACCTGAATTCAGCAGCCAGGACTGTCACCTGACTATCATCGCCCACTGTAAGCGAGCAGCAACATTTACAAAGACCCCCACCCTGCCCCATCCAGCCCCCCCCCTCCCCCTCTGTCTCTCAGGCAGAGACCGGGGTGTGCAGGAAAAAGTGCTGGCAGGTCCCGGACTGTCAACAGGAGGCACTTCTCTAGTCTTGGTGGTCAGGTTGCATCAGAGACAGGCAGAGCTAGGGGGTGGTGCGACAAGGCTTGTACCTGCTGGTGTGGAATCGGTTGATTTCCTTAACTGCCCCTGTTGTAGCTGTCGCAACGATCGCAGGCACCGCTGCCGATGTTGCTGCTGTCCTGCTTGGCAATGTTTCTGCTGCAAAAGGGAGCTGTCGGGACGTGGCTCTGGGATGACCGAGCTGCTTGTTTCAGGTCAAGCGGTTTTTGCCTTGCTAGAGGAACAGATGGGAGAACAAGACTGCCACACCAGACACACAGCCAGGATGCCACCCCAGTGGGGCTACGCTAATCACACCTTCAGGTTTCGTTTTTTTGGCGAGTCTTCTTTGGCAACACGGTTTCTCTTTTACAAGTCGTAAAGCCCTTGCACTCGTTCTCAGTGTGAAGAAAGGGAGAGGACAGGGGACCGAGAGAGCTGAAGGAGAGGGGAGTCCCTGCGACCCCTCCCTGTTCCCCTCCAGACACAGCGCCCCGCAGTGGCGACGTATTTAAGGCGATCGGTGGTCAGCACTACCCCCCCGTGCTGGAGTGGTCGGTAGGAGGGGATCCTTCATCCGTGTGTCCGGAGGTCAGAAAGGGGGAGGGCGTAGCGGCCTGAGCAATGACTGGACAGCTGGAAGGGAGAGCAACATACGTCCTACCCCTCCTCCAGCCCGGTAAAAGGCATACCCCAGTGCTCCCAGTACTGCCCCCTTCAACACTGTCCGCAAAGCCCTGCTGAGCCGGGAGGGTGGGGCCACGCTGCAGGAAGAGGAAGAGAGGGGAAGAAAGACTACAGTCAGATCAGACACAGAGTCACAGAGTCACAGGCACACTGGGTCACACACACATGCGCCAGCATGGTGGCCAAACAGCTGCTGTCACCTTTATGACTTGACAGCCAGTTTATCACCTGGTGGTTCAGGAACAGCATGAGCAGAGATTGGCAAATACACTGTAAACATCTGGCTGATAACATCTCTTCAACCACATGTGCCTTTATCTTTTAATTCTAAACAAACAACATCAAATAATTATGTTGTATAGTATGTATTTACATACATAGTATATACATAGCACTGTACAGGCACAATTTTTATGATGGTTGGGAATACTGACGTCGTAACAAAGATAAACAGGTTCTGCATGGAAATTTCCTGCTGTCCGCCCACTTTGCTTATCATTATTATGGGTGTGTTTCCTTGCTGTAACTCAGTTATCAGGTGGTGTGGTTTTACATTTTTGTGTTTTCTAAATGCGGTCACAGGACTAAGTGGTTTTAGGCTTACTCAAACAGCAAACTGGCTTGAAACAAAGTTCATGGCCCTCACCAGAAGTGTTAAGGTAAAAGAAGATGAGGGTGCACTTAAAGTGTTGTAGAAAAACAGCAGGAAGAGTAGTAAAAATGTGTTATATACAATACTGGCCCAAATGCCCCAGTTTCTACAGTTTAAGGAGAACACAGCCAAACCTGGCACAACAGCAAGTCCCAGAAACCAGTTTGAATAAGCGGTTCGGAGAATGGTGCCATTATCAGACTCATCCTGGTGACAGTAAAAACAGGAAGCTGCAACAGCCTAGGGGGACCCTGAAGAGAACTTGATTACTGCTTGATTACAGACACCCCCCTTGTCTGGACATGTCGTTTGGATACAGTGACGTAAGAAACAGAGGAAACTCCACTGTACCTTAACCTCCACCTCAGGCTTGATGTTTTGGGTTTTCACCCTGTCAAGAGTCTCTCTATACAGGTTGCCCTACTTGCGTTATGCTTGGTGGAGAAGGTGGGCAAGCGTGTTCAGGTCGTAACAGCTAAGGCGATGTAAGGTCTCGATAAGCTGTTTGGCAAAGGCCATCCTTGTGCAGCAACTGTGCAATCAGAAAGCAGGCAGAGGACAACGAACAGCAGCTTGAGAAAGACAAGACAGGAGGAAGCAAGACTCCTCCTGGGAGGTCTCAATAAGAGAGGGACATCCCTCACATAGCACACCTCCCCTGGAAAGGGACAGCTATGGATGATGCGGAGGCTTATCTTTTGACTTTTAAAAGCAAGGTGGAAAAAGAGTGGGATGGAATCAGGCTGAAATCCTGATGGGAAGATGGATGGGAAAGGCATCTCATGAGCCCAAACCCACTTTGAGGGCGACTAGACTGTGGGCAGGATGCACCTGGAGAATCAGTCCCCTGGGGATGTGATGATGAGGAGGAGCAGACCACACGTACCAGGGCTGAAGCACCACAAGAGGATGGTGAGGTTGAAATGCCTCAATTAAGAAGGAAGAGAGAGGCTGGAGAAGTTGTTGAGGGAAAACTCAGAAAAATCAGACGCTTCCTCACGGATCATTAACTAAGCACATTGAGAATGAAAAGCATTTTAAGCGTTGTCAAAGCAAAGACAATGATAGCCCCAGAAGGCTCAGGAAGATTTTTGCCCTGTGCAAATCTTCCTTCTAGTTTGACGAGAAGGATTATTTACATAAAGACAACAACAAAGATGTAGGATGGAAGGAATTTATCATGTTAAATCTTTTTAAAAAGTGTGTAGACAGAAGCTTTCATTGCGAGCCCAGATAGCTTCCCGATTGTTTCAAAATCCAGGAAAACTCCCACACCTAGATTTTGATCATGGTGTGTCAGATCCTCTCCAACAGGTAGAGTTCATGGCACAGGAGAAGAACCAGTGAAATGAGCTGGGAACACAATCTTTCTATTCCAAAAACCTTATTTTCATTTTTCTTTGTTTCATTAGAACACGTTTATGTTCCAGCATTCATAAGCCTTCTTCAGGAAATATTGACTCTTACTGTATATAATCAAGCATTCCTTTGAGACTGTGCATTGCTTTTGTGGACTTTTACTGGACGGCACTTCCACAACTTTGTGCGTTCTTTTTCAAAATTAAAAGAAGTGTCATTTAGGCTTAATAGAAGCCATTTATCTGGGCCATACTAGGGTGAGGTGGCTGATCTGACCACAACTTGAAAAGGCTTATGCCCAATGGTCACACCCTAGCAATAAGAAATTCTGAGCTTTCTTAGGTCTCACTGGTTTTTGTCATATGTTTATAAAGGACTTTGCAAAAGTGGCCTGCTTTCCATTTGAAATCACGAGGAATGCCCAACCCTGCAAGGAGTACCGCCATCCAGAGGAGGAGACACCTTTTGACAAAATAAAAAGTTTGTTGTGAGCTTGCCCCACGCACCTCGCTCCATATTTAGAGAACGGGTTTCTTGACCAGGCTGATGGATCTGAGACTGCAAGGGAGCCATCCTCTCCCGAGTGCAAGGGGGTGAGGATTACCCAGTAACGAGAACACATGGTGGAAGAAAATCTCATCTTGGCACTCAAATGCGTGCTTGAAAAAACCTCAGAAACTGTTAGGGAAGCAGCGCACTTCAGTCACAACCTGTGATCTGCTACCGTAGACGTGCAGGAACAAAGAAAAGAACGCGCAGATGACAAACTGTTGTGTTAGCTTACAACCTTTTTTTTTTTACTACCTGTTTTCAGGTAGAACACAGATCAGGAACACAGATACTCAAAGCCTGAAGTGAGGGAAGAAATATGTAGGAAAGCAGCAGGGAGAGTAGTGGAAGGGCGTTGGGTGTCTGCCCAAATGCTCCCGTTTTCTGGAATTTAGGGAAAACATTGCTGACCCCCAAAATACTGCAAATCCCAGAAACTCTTTTACGAAAAGGCAGCTGAGCAGTGTCCATCATGACCTGCCCTGGATGCTATGATAGTAGGGTGCTGGAGCAAACCAGAATTAAAGGAAACCTCGAAAGGAAAGAGGGAAAGACAAGGAACCCATCCTATAAATTGAAAGATATTACTGAGCTACTTCCTTTTAGAAATGGGCTTACAGAAAGGAGAGACTCACTTGACTCGACAAGTCTTGTCTACAGTCAGGGAGAAAGGACCAGCAGGCTAACAGTCGCTCTGTGGCCAGTAAAGTCCAGGTCAAAAGGTCTCCTCTTGTTTGTAACCTTACTTACAATCAATATCTGCAACTAAGCCTGGAGATGTGCAGTTATCTCAGCATGGCACGCACCTGGGAAATGCACTTATCTTGATGAAATTCCCATAATAGTCTCACTCAATTCTTAAGTCTCCAGAGAGGAGACTTTAATGATATTTTTAAACCAGCAGCAGGCCCATTTAGGTCACCAACGCCAAAGTGGCAACTGGATCTCAGCTGCCCTGCATACAAGGGCACATGTGCAAAATGAAAGCCGAAGAGAAGAAAAGAGAGCCGTCAGACAGACACAGGCAGAAGGGCTGGGCAGACAGGCAGACTGACCTCATGATCTCCTGGATGTTGAGCGGTTTCTCCCAGTTCTTCTCAATCCCTGGGACATGACCGATTCCGACCACCCCCACCACCACTGCCGGGACCCCTGAGAAGCGGTGAAAGAGAACACATCACTAACGCTGTCCTGCTCTGTTAAAATGGAAATACTTAAACATATACCTATATATGTTTTATACAGAGCTCAAGCTGTGTATAGTCGTTATACAGTTGTATTATATATTATATGTATTATACGACTACTATAAGACAAAAGAGCAGAGGTTGCAGTACTGTCTCTGGCATTAGTGAACCTTCCCAATGCTACAAGTCTCTTACCTCTCAGTGAGACAGATCAAGCCAAGACAAAGAGAAGTTGAGATAAACAGCACAGTATTGACTCTAGGCATTAGGGGGCGCATGCGTCAGGGTGAGACAGACCAGGCAACAGAAAAAGACCATCTCTAACTATTGTTTTATGTGTTATATGATGCATGTAAATGTCCTATGAATGCATGTGTTTGTACTATAAATGTCTGCAGGTATTGCTGTAATTGTATATGCTTTAGTAGTTCAGGTGGGTAGCTGCGTCAGCATGCATAGGCTGCAAAGGAACAAGTAATAGGTTTATTCCATGCTGAAAAGAGAAGAAAGAAAACATAAAACAAAGCGTTTTGGTCGTGAAGCCTTCTTCAGGTGTGAGAAAGACAGGGCAGTAAGCAAAGGTATTGTAGCGGGGGAACAAAAGCTGAGGGAGAGGAGGAGCGAGGGGTAGGAGCAGGGGGCAGAAAGAGAGGCCAATCAGGAGGTGTGAAGTCAGGATAGTTAAAGAGAGGTGTGAAATGAAACCTACAATGAATAGAGAGAATTTAGAAGAAAAGTAGTCTGTCGTTAATAGTCGACTACTAGTCTGTAGTCTGTTGTTAATTGTATACGCTTTGGCAACACTGTAATCCATCGGTCACGCCAATAATGCTCACTGAATTGAAAATGAAGTGAACTGATTGAGATTGCAAAAGGCGCAGTACTGACTCTGGGCGTTAGGGGGCGCTTCAACACTGCGGGCCGCCTGCCTCAGGGTGTAGGTGAGGTAGACGTCCCTTTCGGCTACGATTGTGCGGTGCAGGTCGGGGAACTCGCCGATCATCTCCGCCATCGTCTGCTCGAGAAGGTCCTTCTGCTTGCACTTTTCCACATCCTCCTTACTGGAATAGAGACAGAGAAGGAGAGGGGGAGACAGTTAGCCTGGGTGTGCATATGTGCACCGGGGTGGACGACGACTTGTAACAGAATTATCTGGTTCTAATAACGTGTACCACCTGTGTCATGCAAACAGATCTTCAAAGGGATATGGAGGATGCCTTTTAATGTAAAAGATCAATTACAATGCTGTTTCTTTATCTAAATAAAACACCCTACAACCTCAATTACTCAAAACAAAGAATTGTGTTGCTCTCCAGAAATAAGTGTCTAAATCTAAAGACCACCCTCTTCTCCTGGAGCAACCTTAGCTTTATTTAGTATACACACACTGTAGCTTCTTATGCTTGAGCTCTGGGTTGATTGTACAGGGTTTGGGAGTTGAAAATTGCAATAATGCTTGACTTAGTCTCCACCTCTCCACTGTAATCACACAAGGCTTGGCAAAGCTTGGGCTCTGCCGAGCTTAGCAAACTGCTAGGCCCCTTAAGAATCCCGTTAACCGGCTTTCCTCCAGACAAATTAGACATAAATGAACACCAGACATTAGGAGCTCTAAAATAAGATATTACATCCAACAATCCCCTAGCTCCTTAAGCAATCCTAAGAAATTTTAAAGTCAGTTAAATTTATGGAGAAAACAAATCATTTTCCTGTCATTTACAAGTTTCAATTACTTTCAAAGCAGAGAGAGATAAAAAGTATGTAACTCACATAAGGTACATTTAATTAATGTGGTTGTATTTTTTTTTTTATCGGTTGTCATAAAAATAATGCAGACTCAGGAGAGTTTCATGAAGATCCAGAGTCCCTTCAGTTTTGGGACACAGCCAGCTACGGAAGCACAATAGCCGAGCTGAGTAAAACTGACAGTATTAAGTCTGTCAGTCACCACTGGTTTTGTAGTATTGTGCTGTTTGGTAAAAGGTATTGTGACCATAAATCTTGCTGCTCATCCATCACCCCCTTTATTGATCCATTTGACACATTTCTCAATTAAAACAGCTGAAATGGCAGCAGGTCAAGGCACAGATACGTCACAGTGTGTACTTAGACCTCACATAGAGCTCCTCACTCCCTTCACCATGGAGAGCATATTATACTAAGCTGGTCCCCCTCTATGATTACTAACAACAACTGTGCAGCTTTTCTTCAGTACATCCCGCAGACTTTTTGCAAATCGTGAGCCCTGGATATAACTGAACTTGTGCTATTCGAAAATAACTCAAACGGCTCCCTTTGTAACAATCTCAGATTCAAAGCTGAAGCAAGCCCCAGTTCATAAACATCTAGACATCTCGGTGGTTAGAGCTTTATCTTTTGTAACTAATAAATAAAACTCTACACACTCAGGTCAAGCCTAGACTTGGCTTCCTTTATCTGAACAGACTGTGTTCATCTTAGTCTGTGGCGATGTGGTTCATGGAGTATTTACAGCAGTTGTTAACAGAAGAGCCCCTGAAGCTGTTTCTGGGAAACTCAGTCTTATACCATTCACTGCTGCCCCCCTAATGTACTCATCACTGTGACCTGTGATTGTAATTATGCCTCCCTGCAAGCTAGACAAATGGTTTAGTGGCTTAAGCTCTAAGATTGGGAAAAGAGCTTCCCATCTTACTTATATGCACTTCACTCTACGACATGACAGAGATGCAGCACCTTTATCAAACTGAACCACCGAAGAGCAGCTCAGTGGTCTCAAGTCATTTCAGCTGGCTGCTGCCAATGACTGGAACAATCCGCAGAGTAAACCGTAATATTCCAACCTTATTACCTGAGTGCATGTTTAGATATCTTGTTAAATCTTTTCTGTACACACATCCTGTTATTTATTTAATTACCTTTGTTTAACTTTTCATTTCTTTCACTGCTTTTGTTTAACAATGGTGTAAAGCCTCTTCTCCAGACCGTCACTCTAAGCGAGAATTTGTTCTCAGCCGACTCATCAGGTTAAACAAGAGGATTGTTATTTAATGACTGTGCGATGACCCAACTGGGTGCAGCACGCCTTTTCCCTTAAGTTTATTTCTCTAAATCCCAAGAACCACTCCCTGCACTGTCAGTAACGCCAGGAAACCTGCACATTGCTCTGTGAAGGCATCCATGCAATATAGTCACTGCTACAAGCGATGGCTACACCTGATACTGAAACTGCGGCTTGATCTCATCTAGGGCAGGAAAGAGGTGGTCACACAGTGAGGCGGATGATTATTGTTAAATTAATTGGTTAATCAATAAATAACGGTGCGCTGGGAAAATTATATCATTATGCATTAGGTCTGAAAAATAAAATATGAGAGTACACTTGATGTCATGCCTGTAGTTTCTTGTTTGTAAAGAGTATGTGTATTACATGTATCATGCACAAATTAACTAGATAAGAAACAGGACCTGCAATAAAACGTCACATCTGAAACCAACACAACGTGCTGTGCAAACCTTCTCCATACCTGATGGGGTCGGACAGGAAGCACAGCCCCCAGGCCAGCTTGAGCTTCTGCCACAGGCTGAGGGCTGCAATGGCCCGCTTGAAGGTGACTGGGATGGGCCGATCTCCCAGGTGGAACTTGCAGAAGGGGACGCGGCTCGCCTGAAGGACAGGACAGACAGGTTAACGCTGGACGCTGGCTTGGAGTTAGAGAAGGTGTCTGCAACCCTCATCCTAGAGATGATCCGCATTTCTGACCGTTTTCCTTCCAGTTAAGATGTGAATGATTTAACTGGATCAATGAGTTATTCATTAGTAGCTTAGGAGAAGTTATATTGACTAACAGATCTCTGCTTAGTGACTTATCTAAGGCTGCCTATAAAAGACCCCTGGGTTAGATTTAAGGCCAGGGTTAAGATCAAGGTTTTTATATCAGCGCTTAGGCTATGGTTACCCTGAAGGCTAGATGAGGGGTTAACTTTTAATCTAAGGTTAGAAACAGAGTAAAGGTTAAGGCCAAAATTTGAGTTTGCCAAGGGTTAGGTTTAGATTAAAAAATTAAGTCCAAAGGCAGGCTAGAAGACAAAGACACGTTTTAACCTGTCAGATATCGTTAACCGCAGCATCAGACTCCAGCCCTCTTTCTCAATTACAGACTGCGTGGTTTCAAGGTCTTGCATATGAAAACCGCCTTCGGACAATCTGAATCCCAGACCGCGGCAATATTTTCATGCAGTTACGTCTCTGCGAATTGTTCACCTGCTAGACCATCCAGAATATGCTACTATGGAGTGTAGGCTTACTACTGCTTTAAATATTGCTCCCCCTCGGTCTGATTTGTCCCACATCCCCAGTCTGTTTATAAGACAACAGCAGGCCTCTGCACACTGCTTTCTCTGTTTTACGCTGTGACTCATCACTCGTTATTGTCCTGGGTGTGCACTTTGGCCCAGGCTCTGGCCCTCACCTCCCGGAAGGCTTCCCTGAACTCTCCCCCTGG